AAGAGAAAGAAAAAAAGAGAGAAAGAAAGAAAGAAAGAAAAAGAAAGAAAGAAAGAAACAGAAAAAGAAAGAAAGAAAGACAGACTTTAGGGGAGAAATGGCCCAAAAGATGCGAAGAGAAAGGATGGAGAGAGGAAAAGCACACCAAAATATAAAAGATGAGGTATGTGCTTATATCTGAGGGGTAAAATGACTATCTCTCTGAGTAACAAGCTGTGGAGGTGCACTGAAGTCGCAGTCACTGCTGACCCTGGGAACATAATATTCAGAGCCCTGTGCAGGTGCCCTGAGTGCAGTATGAGGGCTGACTTCTGCCATTCCTTGCAGAAGGGAATGTGAGAGCTCACCCAGAAAGGGCCTGCTTCATTTTGTTTTCTAATGTCAGCTGCTGGCCTCTACGGGAGACAGCATGCCAGGGTAAATTTAGAAAACAGCAAGTGCACCCCAGGTCATGCTCAGACATGCAGAATGACCCCAGCCATGGGTGATCCTGGGTGGCAGAGCATAAGAAATATGGAGGCACAGAAAATCTGAAGGGAAGAGCACTGCTCTGAAAACTGCTGGATGGAACATAGAGCCAGGGGTATATTTTAGTCGGTCATCACACTAGGTGATCATCGGAATTCCCTTCCAACCAACACTTCTATGATAAAACTACTCAGTTTCCCAGAGCCTTAGCCAATCTAAGACAAAAAGGGGGGATAGAAACAAACAAGATCTTACAGAAAAGGTGGTCAGACATTTGGGGTAGGTCTTGTAGTATTCCCCTAGTACCTGGTGCAGCATCAGCACAATCGGCATAGTTTGGACCTGTGGCAGGATTGTACTTTTGCAGCAACCATAGGGGCCCAAGACTTCAAGATATTTTGTATTCACAGTATTTGCAATTAAAACTGTTGATTGTTGAAAGAATTTGTAACACAGGGATAGCAAACAGGAGTTTGTACAGAAGCACCTGAGAAGCCAAAGAACCCAAAAAAACGTACGTACCTAATTTGCATGCACAGCAGAATGTCTGAAATAAATGGAGAAAGTGTATTTCAAATTTCATATGCAGTTACTTGGACTCTATTCAAAGCTCTGTGTACACCCTACCTGCTAATCCTTTGCTGGAATGTTGATAACAAGTGCAATATGTCGTACAGACCACAAACAGAAGAACCAAGAAACCTATGCCATTTGTGAATCACTCTTTTTATTTCTCTTCTGAGAACTGACACCAAACTTTTAAGAATGTAGGAATTCAGCTGAAATGCACAAGACTAATATCTCAGAAATGCTGTGCTACCAATTCACTGCCAAGTGTACAGGTATTTTGCTTGTAAGAAGTTCCCAGCCTGTTTTACTAAAATGCTTTAAAGCATTTAAGTGTTTTGGATTTAAAGCATGTAAGTTATATTGGGATTTCACTCAATAGCCAATGCACGTAGTGCTTACAGCAAACATTCATGACGATACAAAATATAAGAATTATATTCCATACCCTATTTTGTAATGATTAGCAAATAAACTTCTTTGAATGTGTTTGCTGTGATCCCCATGTCCATATTAACATTGCATTAATTAGTTCTCTCTGTTGGCTGGTTTGTCATGTTTCTGTATTTTCTTAGAATGATCTCTCTATGAGGTAGAGTTACACAACTTTATTTGAACCCATCTATTTTCATCTCATTCCAACATTAGTCTTTTAATGATGCTATTGTCTTAAACAACCACGAACTAATTTCTGACAGAAGGCTGTACCACTTACAAAAAATTACTGAATAGGGTGATAAGGAATGACTAAGGTGTGAGATGGTCTTTGTATGTGGAATAATTATATATTCTGGGAATTTCAGCGTGGAAAAAAGGAGTATGATAGAGCTCTCTGAAACCTAGAGTGTTAGAGAGCAGGTAGCAGCAAACAATTGTTCATTGCTTTTCAGAATGTAACAGTGAAGAAACATAAAATAAAACTATCAGTGGCCAATTCAAAGCAGAAGGGGATAACAGACAAACTATGCATTTTTAAAGGATGTTGTGGATAGCAAGACTTTTTATGGTTTCAAAGACATCATTGTACAAGTCCATGGAAAAAATCATGAAAGGTGAAAGGGCTATTGAACATAAATGTACTGCATTTGGTTCATGAGACCCACAAATATAATTTGCTACAGTCTGGAAAAGTATCACTATATGTTTGCCAATTTATGTGTTTCACAAGACACCTACTTATGGTCATTATCATAGGTAAATTAGTATACTGCTTGTAGCTATGATCCACAGTGGTATCACCAGTGTAATGTCATAATCAACAAACTTAAAAAAAATATTTGATGGAAACAAGACAGATTCTGACCTCATAAGCATTCTGTTAATTTTCCTTAAAGGTCAGATCCGGATTCTTAACTATTCCTTCTTTCTTTTGTGAACTTTGAATTGTGTCATGAGAAAGGTGCTTGGAGCTTCCACGGGATACTTGACTAGTTCAGCCAGACCTCCTCCACCAGTAATGAGACCTACTGGTGGTTGATCTAAACCACTTGTTTGAGTTACACTTGAGAAATAAGCCAGCACTGAAATTTAAAGAAACGAATGATTATACCTTGTAAATAAAATTTAAGGCCACACTTTTCAGAAAGGTCAGAAGCCACATGAAAACTCAATTTTCCAATAAAGCTGTCCTTAACAGAACACCTTGTTTCCCCAAAGGATTGAACGCCCATCGCTCTTTTTGATCTTCTGAAAATCCACCCCAAAATGTGCATGTATTCATTTTCTCAGTGATTTCAAATAAACTAGCCCTGAAAATAAAACCACGCTTTAGAACAGAGGGTGTCACAATATGTTCTTTGTACAGCACTCGTGAGTTGTATTTGCTTGTAATTGTGGCTGCAATCAACATTGCAGATCATGGCATTCAAAGGGCCCTCAGTTTTAAAATGTCTTGCTAGACACTGAAATCTATATTGTTATTTTTAAAACTTGCCCGTAAGCCATGTTATCAACCCACTGTCAGAGAAAGACAGGACAGTCCCATGTGTTTGGCACGTGTGTCCTTCAGACCAGTCAGAAGGCCAGAGCACTTACAGTTAAGGGAAAGTCATTCTTCTGCTTTTCCTGCCACCGTGTCCCATCTGTCTCTAAGCAGATTTAAGAAATGATTGCAGCTGTACAGGAAACATGTAAATATTTGTGTGTGCAGTCTGACTACAGTAAATGACTAGATCAGAGACACAAGTTATCCAGAACAATAATCTGCCCTTGAGATAGTCACAGGATGTGTACCTGAGAAAGGAAACCCCCTGAGTAGATAAATATAGAAATAGAAGATACTCTGCTTCCATAAAGATTGAATTTTAAATTCCAGGAACTGGATTTTGCTTTAAAGCCTGAAAAATGAGTTTTGATATCTATCTCATTACTCTTTTTCTTTTTTTTCAAGCATTGGTTGTTACAGCTGAGGATTCTTGGCTGTACAACACGCAAAGTTCCTTCCAATCTTGCTGAATTTCTGACCCTGGGGTTTCCTTGCCAATTCACTACATTAACTTCTTACAGGAAAATAGTTCAAGGAATAGAAATTCAGATTAATTATGTGAGTTAAAAAAACCCAACTCTTCAAATCAATAGTGTATATTTATGGTTATTGTCAGACATTTTAGTGCCTGGTCTAAATTTGTGGTAAGAGTATACAGTTGTATTTTTGGGATCTTTTTCTCCACTGAATACATTTTCCTAGCTCTTAGTAAAATTAGTAAATATTAGAAATGGGAAGAACAGATTATAGAAATATATATAATATGCCAGGTATTTCTGCAAAGAAAAATATCCTCTGTTAAAGCAAGTGCAAAGGTAATTGTTATGGTTTTGTTGCAAACAGTTTTAGAAACTCAGTTCTTCACAAATGTTGCAAAGTTTTCTGGACTTAACCTGCTGTTAAATATTTTCTGTCACCTTTCAAGGACTAATTTATAGTAATTTTTAAAGTACACTTTGGAGGAGTGCTTTTACACATATGTAACACTTATTTAGACAGGTGAAATAGGAAAATATGTTATTCTGATGAAACTGTTTACCAGGAAAAACAGTTGTACGACTAAAAAACTATTTTTAAAAAAATAAGGTTAGTGACCTATGAATATACATAAGTTAAGAACCACCAGCATGAGACTAGATCCACTCTTAAAACGTCCTTTCATCTAACCACCTATATAGGAATAGTGACAAGGAGATCCTTGTTACATATATTTTGATCAGACTGAGCTTTTACCTCACTCAGTTTCAAAAATAATAACATACGTATGTCAATAGTTTATGTACCCTAGCACATAAATTGATCTCCAATGATGCAGATTTGATTTGCACACCTTCTGAGCTTGCTCTGCAGAGATCAACAAATCTGAAGGAGTAAAAAAGGCTGGGTAGTAATTTAAAAAATATTTCATTTCATGGCATAAAAGAATAACAGTGTTGGGTAGAAACAGAAAGAATAGAGCTGTTCACAGCTCTGTAATTTTCTCTGTGTATAACATTTGCCTTCCAGAGGGAGACTTTATGAAACAGAGGATCATATTGTCTATGAATAGTATGTGAATGTACAGCAGATGAAGTGGGACCAGTGGGAGTTAGACATGAGCATCTTTCTGGTTTGGATTATTGGTAGTGGTAATCATAACCCAAATGTTCTCAACTTGCAAAAAGGTCTAGTTCACATTTTAAGTAAGCTGTTTCTTCAATCTCTCCTCTTTTTGTTGTTGTTGTTGTTTTGTTTGATTTTTTTTTATTTTTTTTTCCTTTCTACCTTTAGCTATAACTACCTAAACATACTGTATATATACAGACACATAACAAATCTTACTCCATATCACAAATGATATGCTGAAAGAAAAGGGAGGCAGTGTGCGACTATTCCTTTACAGTGAATGTGTTACGAACACTTCAAGTACTGTAGCAATTAATGAAATTAATTTGTGCATTCTCACAAGCAATCATAAAGCTTTTGTCACGTCTTTTCTTACCAAGTTGCTCTGCTAAATGTTTGCCCCTCTCAGTGAAGATTACCCGTTCATCCTCCATGTCACATTTGTTGCCAACCAAAATAACCTGGGCATTATCCCAAGAGTATGTTTTGATTTGAGTTGACCTTAAAAGAAAAAGAGAGAGACAGAGAAGAGTCAAAGCAAAGCAAATTCCCCTCCGACCAATTTCAAACAGGATTGCAACAAGACAAAAGAGACAATAATGATTTTGACAACTAGAGTAACATGACTTAGTTTAATTATGGATTTCAAGTAAACTAAGGATTATCTGTCAGGTATTATTATTACATGAATGATATCAACACAAGCTTTACTTTTGCTTGTTAAAAAAAATATTTTTCCTGCCATCAACATTCTTCCTATATTTTTATGAAGAAGAGATGACACTTTCTTCCACACAATTAAAAAAGGTATTTTCACATTTAATGCAAACCTTATAATCCAAAATCAGACCTCTGAAACAAAATCACCAGCTTGTTCATTTCTTATCTTTTAACTTCTAAAATCAGGATGTAAATTTAGCAGCAAAACGTCAAAGCCAGTCTCTCTTCCTTCTGTTATTTCTCTCTATCACATTCCTCTACAGGTCTTTGACCTAGCAGAAGTGCAGCAACATTTTGTGGAATATTTGCAGGAAAATGGACACATTCTGAACAATCCATACTTCTAAGAAGCACTAGGCCTTACTTAACATAACTTTGGAGGTTGCAAACTGTGTGAAAACTCTACAATGTTTATAGTAGTTAGCTGTGTAAAAATCGTATGTTTATAGTTATAAGGTATGAGAAAACGTGTGTTTATAGTTGAAAGTTGTGGGAAAACTGGAGATAAGGGGATGCCTGCAAAATCTCGGAAAGTCCCTGAAGGCAGAGCGATAGGAGGGACTTTGGGTGGCACGTATGATGTCAGGCCGCATGGACAGAGCACCAATGAACTGAAGGCATGAGACGCGTGCACAGACTGAGCTATCCAATCACCTTGTTGTAAGCACGTACCCAGAAAAAACTAAACTGTATAAAAGTTAACTCATTTAAATAATAAATTGAACATTGTCTGATCATATTGATCATCTGCGTGTGTTCCGGAACTCCTGCCATCCATAACATTTACATTGTGCATTAAGCCATCGACAAGAGATGAGTTTGAACTCTGATTTAATTTCCATTTAAATTATAAAAGCCTTAACCATGACTGCATCTGAATGAGAGTATCTGAGGCCTTGAAACATCGTGGGACCTTGAGTGCTGGTGGTGAAACAGCTTACCCTAAAAATGCTCTCTTCTGCAATTTGAATTTGATGCAGCTAATGGGAAACTTAGGAGCACGCTCAACAGTACCTCTTAGTTGCTGACTGCCACCATTCTAGTGATACTCAGACCTGCTCTGTAGGAAGAAAAGCTCTACAGCTGGCTCCAAGCTCAGCCAAGAGTGATGCTACTAGTTACCACCTTCTATCTGAGAGCAGTACCTGCTCTGGAAAGTAATGGAGGATGCAGTAAGCTTAGTTAAGCACTTACCCTTTGACTTGGACTTGTGACTATATCTGGCTATAGGCTCTAAGTCAAGTGTTTGGTAGGATATTAATATCTCATCTGTCTCCACACGATCAATGGAGAGAGAGAAAAGATGGAGAGCATCTCTCTCTCCTCCATCCCTTCCCACACCATTTCTTCAATTCCTCCCTTTCTCCCTCTCTTCCTCCCTCCCATCCCTCTCTCCTTGGACACTATGGGGTGCTTAGGAAAACAGAACTAGAATAGAAACTAACTTCTATAACTACACATTTATGAGAGGACGCCCTGGAAGGGAATCCTGTGGCAGATCAGGGATTTAAGTCTCTTTGAGAAAAGATGAAATATCTTAAAAAAATCTGTCACCTAAATCTTTTGGAAGCTGGTCTGCATGGGTGCTAAGTTTACTAGCAACCCTTTCTCATAACACAGCCATTGTCTCTACATATTCAGATCCCTGTCTGAAAACTGTCACATGCACAAAAAAGATTATGATGTAGTCTGACAACTGGTTCTAGTGAAAGATAAAAAATTGTTTGAATCTTCCCATCTAGCTTTGCTTATTGCAAAACCACAGGGATGGACACAGTCAAAAGCTGCTATAGCTACCTTTGGGACCTTAGGTCCAATGCCATTGCCCATAGGTTCCCTACATGAGTCAAAGCAGCTCTAGGCCATGTCTGATGGGTTTGCACTGCTGGGCAGAGGAATTTAAGGGGGGACATCACACTGCCTTTAGGAATGCTTTACTTCATCACAATGACCAAAAAGAAGATGAAGCAAGCCTCAGGCATTTTGTGCTACAGATTGTTCCCTTGGGCCTGCCCTCATCTTTTCTTCAGTAAGTGGACACTACACTACTCCAAATCTGTTTTAATAGCAATTTGAGTAGGTGTTCATAAGGTACCGTGATCAACGACAGGTCAGACTTCCCTGTACCCTTCCGTTTTACTAAAGATACCATTACTCAGAGAAAAGGGCACTGTGCATTGACTTTGGCAAAAATGTTCTTTTGGAACCATGCAAAATAGAACTATATTTGTCACCATAGCAATTTTGCAAATACTAGTAGCTAAAATATCAGAGGATATTAGTCCATTAAGGGCTCTAAAAGAGCTTACTGTTGAACAATTATTAGTTGGGGTCAATTTATCCTCTTTATGTCAGCAGGAAATTGAAGACATTTGAAAAGCAAAATATACAGTAACAATAGTAAGTTTACAGAAGGAATTACTTACATAATCTGCAAAGGTGAAACAGAAGAAACTGATGAAGAAATAAACCTGGAGAAATATCATATTCAACCTTGTTTTACAGACTTTTGCTCCAGAGCCTTATTCGAGTTTCTTTGATCAGGAATGTAAGCTCCCTTCATTTTAACTGCAACCAGATGTGAATTTTCATTCTGTGAACTATGAGTCTATGCATTCAAATGCTTCTCATTACCAAAGCAACTTATTTGATTCTGAGACTTTTTTATCCTGCTTGCTCATGTTTCATATTCTAGTTATAATTCTTTTTAAAGTAACAAGAGATCTTGTCCTTCATAACAAATCCAAAAGCTTATGTTTTGCAAAAGACTCTGTAGTGCAAAAATACAACTGTGAAAAACAAATATATTCCCACCCAGCCCCACATCAGTAGGAGCTTGATTCAAAGAATATAATAGGCTCATCACTGTTACGTTTCCTTTTAGACATACATTTCCACTAATGGTTTCTGTAGATTTTGATTCCCACAATTCTCCATCAAAGCCAACACAACAGGTCATCTAAAAAAAGAGATTTTGCTGTTCCTTGCATACATGATCTCTCAAATGACTGAGGCTTCTGATTAATTGACAACACAAATGTTTGTCCTTGCAAAGAACTTTAGCCTCAGGAAGACTGAAGATATGAAAAGGCAAAGCTGATGTTTGCAGTAGGCTGAATACAACAGTTCTTATTCACTCTCAGTGACCTGGTGTATGTCAGTAGTTATTTACCCTATAAATCTTTCACATTCTAATTGTATAGTAGGCAGGTAATCTGCATCATGCTAGAATTTTTATAATGTATAGTCTCCACAGGGGCAGATTAATGGGGGAGTTCAATGATCCATTACTTTCTGCGATCAAGACGTTCTCCCTGTACTGCAATTCTGCCATACTCCTTGTCAGAAAAAAACCCTTGCTGAATGCAAATGAAAGCAATGCTACTGTTTCATCTTAAAGCAATTAAATCTTCAAATAAGTTCCCAGGAAACAATGGTCAGGTGCCTGTGTGTGCTCTTGGACAGCTTACAAGGAGTGTTGCACAAAGATAGAATGGGGTTCAGGAACATACAGTCCCAGTTGGCTGAGGCAGTTGAGATGCTGGAAGCCAAGGTAGGTAGCATAGGGCAATACAGGAGAGTTGCTGTGATGTTACCACTGTGGAAACCAGACTGTTCACATTAAATTATGTGATAAAAGCTCATCCATACATCCACAAGGAGAACAGAGAGATGAAGGCAGGTGGGAGAGCCCAAATAATATCCTGGTCTTGGCTGCTTCCAGGCCTATTGCAGGAGCCATCAGACTGTCCAAGGCCCATATCTAATGGCCTTGAGGAGCAGGGCTGCACTAAGGCAGGTTCCCAAATTATGGATTCAAAAGAGGCATACCATATCCAGGTTCTTTCCAGGGTTGTTCTAGGAGAGCCTCACCCCTACTGTCTACGTGTGAAACCCATCGATGCAGGTCAAAACTGGAGACTTACATGTCCAGATGCCAGAAACTGAGGAGACTGGGATCCAGGGGCAGCTACTGGGCAGACTGAGTGTATGAGCACAGCTGATGGAGGGAGCCACAATGTACACGTCTGTACAGATATACATCCTCACTAGTGGACTTCGATGCTGCTCTGCTGGGGAGGGGTGCAGGGTGAGGATACTGATGCTCTTTGTGTTATCTCAGGCCTTTCATCTGTTCTCCAGTAAAAAATGTAGTTAGTGGGAGACAAACCACTCAAAGTGTATAAACCTACCAACCAAAACCACCAACTCCACTTTCTGATTGGAATTTCGAAGACAGTACTGAGGTTAAAAATTTGAAGCAGTCTTAGCAACAACAGGACAGAAGGGTCCCGGAGGACTTGAATACTACATTGATTGTGGTCACGGTTACTGGCATAGTAGGAATATATTAGAAATAATTAGTAATAATGTCAGTAATAATAAAAAGAAGATGCTAACATTTACCAGATTTTAATTGAACTGATAGCTGGGGCCATACACAACCTCAAGAAATAAAACTACCTTTGAAAAACAGCTCAAGCTTCCTCCTTTACTGACAAGGAAGATCTGGATACTTGGAACTTTTGAACTATTATTACTCATTTCATCATTCTGGTGTGCCTTATCTGAGGGTCATAAAAGCTCAATGATTGTGGCTAATACAAATTCTTTTACCTCTTGCATTTATTAACCCCTTTATATAATTATTGAAGTAATTAGTGAAAACCAAGAAAAGCAATTGATAAAGGAAATAATTATCGAAATGCAAACCTGACGTAGATGAACATGTAACAGGAATGGGAAAATTGCACCTCAATCCTTCTCATTGAAGATTTAAA